TATTTGGTTAATATGTTGACATATTGTGTACATCAGTTACTTTACATCTGCAAAATGATTTGGATTTGTGGAATCGGGAAGTTTTGGGGCCTTTATAATGGAATAGGGAAGTCCTTGGGCCTTTATAGTGGAATAGGGAAGTCTTTGGGCCTTTATAGTGGAATAGAGAAGTATTTGGGCCTTTATAGTGGAATAGGGAAGTCTTTGGGCCTTTATAGTGGAATAGGGAAGTCTTTGGGCCTTTATAGTGGAATAGAGAAGTATTTGGGCCTTTATAGTGGAATAGGGAAGTCTTTGGGCCTTTATAGTGGAATAGGGAAGTCTTTGGGCCTTTATAGTGGAATAGGGAAGTCTTTGGGCCTTTATAGTGGAATAGGGAAGTATTTGGGCCTTTATAGTGGAATAGGGAAGTCTTTGGGCCTTTATAGTGGAATAGGGAAGTATTTGGGCCTTTATAGTGGAATAGGGAAGTCTTTGCAGACTATTGAACACAGTTAAAGTACATAAGAAACCATACAACCTTTAGATCTTGGAAGTAATACAAAACCATATTTAAAAATAAGTAATTGTGACGCAGCATCTGAACCGGGGCAGAAGATGAATGTTACTACTTCACAGGAGAGGCATTTGAAAGTTTTAAAAAGGGTGTTAATCAAAATGCTTATTTTGGTTTTATTGAACACGTGAACGTGCATCACAAAATCCCCATCAAAATCTGTCAGTTTAAACTAGAGATATCTGTTTTTTCCATGGGCTGCGTCTCAATCCACCACATCTACCGATGTCGGCCTTCCACATCTGTGGTGGAAAGTGGCATTTCTAAAGCAGTATTTGTCAGACCAGGAGACATCCCAAACATTGGTCTTCTCATGAAAACGCCTGTAGTGTCCGAACGGTTTGGGCTCCAAACTAATGACCCCTCCATTGAAAGCTGAGACACTCATGAACACGTAGATGTTGGTGGTTTTGCTCTAAGCCGCACAAGACTCATCTGAAGGTAACCTGGTGGCAGCTTAAACAAAATGAATGGAAGTGTGGAAGTACTTTAGTGGCAAAAGAATGGGTTACATATGGGTAAAATATATATATATAAATAATTGCCTGAACTTTGTTATATCTCTCAGATATAGGACAGACACTTAAAAAATATTTTGTTTTGATACATTTTTTGAATATCTGTTTTGCCATATATGAATGTGTTATTCAGTGCATTTGGCAGTAAGGCCAAATTCAATGTTTAATCAAATAATTTTGTAATACTTATTTTTATACCTACAGCGTTCCTAAAATTCCAAATCAAATAGATAGATTATCCTTGGTGTGACCATCTTAAAACAATTCCATATGTTAGCTTAGTACTGCACTGTTGGAGCTAGGAATACAAGCATTTCACTACACCCGCAACAACATCTGCTAAATATGTGTATGTGACCAATAAAATGTGATTTGATTTGATTTAGCAGAAACCCAGCCCAGAGTCCTTAGACTCTAGGGCAGGGGTCCACAATTACATTCAGCCGTGGACACATTTTTCCTAGAGTAGATGGTCGGGGGATCGGAACATAGTTATAAATCATTTGTACATTGCAAATTGACCGCAAGAATCCCAAAGAGATATAGTATTTGACAAAAACAGAATAATGTAAAACCTTGATTACATTGGGATACAATCACATATCCCTCTCTATTTATGTGTGGGAATACTTGGGAACAGATTTAATGAATTAAAATCACTTTGAGCTGATTTCCTGGTGATTTTACAGTATTTTATGTCCGTTAGAAGTTTGACCAATGGGTGTACTGCTAATTCTGCTCCCCAGGGGACCTCATAGGTTCGCTTGGATAGGCGGAGTTGAAGGTAAAATTATGAACCTGGGAAATTAAAACACTGGCGGATTTCCTGGAAACTGCTGTTACGCAAAGTTTTAATGTCTATTTTGTCTCTTTTACAGCTTCTATTGTCTGGAGTGTTGTTGTGGTCAAGGATTGTTAAATCAGATGGAACCATTTTCCAGCTGCTGTCCCACGTTGATGTGCTTCCTCCCAGAGACTTGCAAGCACCGCCTGGACTGAACACAACTGGGCAAACTTATCTTATTTAGAAGATCAGGATTGTTGCAATGAAGAGGCCAAAGTGCAGGACAGAAATAGGTTGCCTTGTTTCATATCATAACATGAAAGTCAGTCAAATGATGTTATGATATAGGCCTATGGTTAACTAGTGTGTCTATATGTGTTTAATGTATGTTTGAGTTTTGTCCTTATCGTAGGCTGCTACCTTTAGCACTTAAAGTTCATAAAATATATTAATCTTGAAATCTGTCATAAATGCTGTAGGTGGGTGTAGTGGTGGAATCAAGCGCAGGACACCGAAGTATAGTCCAAAAGACTTTAGTGGAATATCCAACAAGGAAAACAGAACAAACTTGCCCGAAGGCGAAACTACGCACGTAGGCGACAAACAAAAGGCACACTACACAGGTGCGTAAAACGCTCCAACACAGTGGAGTAAAGCTCAACCGAGCGAATAAGGAAATCGACAAGCAAACATACGACAGGAACAATCACACACAAACACAGACACACCCAACGAGACTTAAATAGAACACTAATGAGGACTAACTAGACACAGGTGTACAACATCAAGACCAAACCAAACGAACATGAAACATAGATCGGTGGCAGCTAGTACTCCGGGGACGACGACCGCCGATGCCTGCCCGAACCAGGAGGAGGAGCAGCCTCGGCCGAAACCGTGACAAATCTGATGAGAAAATCTGATGTTTTTTAAGCACTACCTCACTGCTTTAGCCACAGTCACATGTCAACATGAGAGTCCATAAAAAAACAAATACAAACTATGAAAATACAAATATTTACTTCACAACAAACAAGATAAAAATCAAAATATTGACAAACTGAAGGACTAAAAAGCCTCTCCATACCTCTTGATCATAGGCGTTGGGATGGTTAAAAGACCGGTGCATTATGAGCTCTCCATCTGGTCTTGGTCAGTACCCGTGCTGCAGCATTATGTATGTTTTGCAGTTGACCAATGGCTTTCTTGGATAGACCAGCATAGATAAAAGCAGGGATGAGTCTCTCTGTATCAGCCTGAAAGAGAAACGGCCTCACCTTGGCAATGTTCCTCAGCTGGTAAAAAGCTATTTTGGACACATTCCTAATGTGTGATTCTAAATTCAGTTCATAATCTAAAATAACACCTAGGTGTTTTACCTGGTGTTTTATCTTTATTGCCCGTGAATTAAAATGTGCGGCCAGATTCTCTCTCTGTGCTTTGGCTCCAACAATAGTACCTCGGTCTTGTCTTGGTTTAACTGGAGGAAGTTGTGAGCCATCCGAGTATTTAAATCACAGTCTAATAATTTATCCGTGGAGCTGAAATCCTCTGATGACACAGAAATGTAAAGTTGCGTATCGTCTGCGTAGCACTGAAAACCAATGCTGTGCTTTCTGATAACACTGCCAAGGGGTAACATACAGTATATAAACTGAACAGTACCGGACCCAAAATTGAACCTTGTGTAATGCCACATGTGACATGTATTTTCTCTGAGTTATGTTCACCAAGGGTGACAAAAAACTATCGACCGGTTAAATAGGTCCTAAACCAATTTAGAACTGGACCAGAGAGGCCAACCCACCTCTCCAGTCTGTCCAGAAGGACATCATGGTCAACAGAGGCCAACCCACCTCTCCAGTCTGTCCAGAAGGACATCATGGTCAACAGAGGCCAACCCACCTCTCCAGTCTGTCCAGAAGGACATCATGGTCAACAGAGGCCAACCCACCTCTCCAGTCTGTCCAGAAGGACATCACGGTCAACAGAGGCCAACCCACCTCTCCAGTCTGTCCAGAAGGTCATCACGGTCAACAGTGTCTAATGCAGCACTTAAGTCCAAGAGTACAAGGACAGAGAGCTGTTTGGCATCTGTGTTGGCTTTAACTAAGGATGCCTCTGTGCTGTGGTGAGCATGACAACCAGAT